ACAACCACATCCTCAAAACAGTAGAAAAGTTGTTATAGTTTATTGTCGTATAAGAAGAATAAGCTACTCAAAATAATAAGTTATTTTCAGACATTCGCTAGACGAAATTTGTATTTGATCTTAGACAGTCAAATAACCAGTCGGCTTGTTTTGTCTACAACGAAATGTCATGACATATGCTTAAAAACAATGAAAAAATTGTTACGATATCTTTTGTTGTTTGAGAGTAATGAAGAATTTAAAACAGGGAGTGGCTTTCCAAACACTCTGTATATTCAATATGAGTAAACAAATTTTTGAAACGTAACGTATTCTAGGAGAGTATATTTTTAAGAAAAGATATTATTAATTCATGTTGAAAGATATTCACTGAATTCAATGTACGATGACTGATAGTCAGTTTCTGTTAGCTTTGGATATTAATAAGATGCGTCTTATGAACATATTTTACGGCAGCAAATCCAACGACAGTCATTCTGGCTATTAGTTTCAGCTATTGCATAGACCAGTTTTTCGACTGCCACTTTATTTTCCATCATTCGTTTAAATCCTTCTTCCACTCCATCCAACGCACCTGGTATCTTCATCACTCTATTCGATTTCAGAAGTCCCTCAGGTAACAAGACATTTGAAACTAATTTATAGAATTTCTCGGCAAATTTTTTATCTTTCAATTTGGCTTTGTAATGTTTACCAAAGAGACTTCTTTCGTTTTCAAACATCGTATACATTAAAACTCTGTGTTCTTTGATATGGGGTGGTGTTTCACTCGCTATAAAAGGTAGAACAGTGCATAATTGCGAATTGCTGGCAGTGAATGTAGCACAGACTTGTCTGGTTGCTCCCTTTCCTGATATACAATCAAAAGCGTAAGCCAAATGATCTTTGGCTGCTTGTCTTATTTTCGACATAAAGTATGGATCTTTGTAGTCAAAATAAACATCAGCACCAAGTTCTTACAAATAATCATGACGAGTGGGTGATGCTATGGTGAGGGTGTGGGTGGGTGTGGGTGTGGGTGTGGATGGGTGTGGGGTGTGGGTGTGGGTGTGGGGTGTGAGTGGGTGGGTGTGGGTGGGTGTGATTTTTTCTTAAGATCGGTTCTCATATCCACACCCTAGTTTTCTGATTACAGTAAGTGCCATAAGTGGACCCGTGCTCTTTTTGATATTGAACGATGACCTTTGTTTTATCTTTTTGCTTTGTCTGAAAGGTCTATTCATACTTATCATCGCATATAAATAGGAGCATTTATATACCTTCTGTTATCAATTTATAGCTTAATAAAAGAATAGGGATTTCGACTTAGTATTAGCATTGGCATTAATTAATACTAATTCTACAAATGCCACTCCTAGGAACAGAAGCGTAGCCAAGAGGGGTGCACAAGGTGCCCAGGCATCCCCTTAGCCAAAAAACATCTGAAGGGGAGTACAGGTAAAAATCTTTTCGAGAAACAAAAATTTATTTTGCAGCTAGTCTGCACCCTCCATAAAGGGTCGGGCACTCGCCTTAGAAAATTCCTGGCTACGCCACTGCCTAGGGAGAGCAAGATGGAGCAAAAGTGTTGGAACAAAAAAGATGCGCAAGGCGTACCTGCATATGATAGTTGTGATCATTTTGTTATAAGATACCTTTATGCATATAATAATTGAGAAATATGAATTGTAACACCCAAAAAAAAATGATATAATGCATTTCTTTCAAAATATGTTCCATTATTATCTATTAAAATGAAAATTTTAATGTAGTCATTCTATGCAGATACGCCTTGCGCATCTTTTTTGTTCCAACACTTTTGCTCCATCTTGCTCTCCCTAGGCGTGACATTTGTAGAATTAGTATTAATTAATGCCAATACTAATACTAAGCCGATACCCTCTATTCTTTTATTAAGTTATAAATTGATAACAGAAGATATATGAATGCTTCTATTTATGTGCGATGATAAGTATGAACAGTCCTTTCAGACAAAGCAAAAACATAAAACAAAGGTCATTGTTCAATATCAAAAAGAGCGCGGGTCCACTTATGGCACTTACTGTAAATACAAAAACTATAGAAAATGTTATACTCAATATGTGCATATTTATTAGTGAAATTTGAACACTGATCTTGCTTGCACATTTTATTAGATCAATATGTTCTACAAATCCTGAAAGTTTCGTGCAATTGGAAAATATCCATTGTAAACGTGGTAAAGATCCTATGAAATACTCCTCTTATGAGTGAATCGTTTTTCCCTTCGTTAAATATTGTCTTTGTAGATAGAGAAATTCTTTGAGAGAAATATCGAGTGTTTTCAATGAAAAAAATGCCGATGGGCAGAATTGAGATTGTAGCACTAATTCTAGAGTACATGGATCAAATTAATGAATCATTTCATATAAATAATTCACAACAAATTCTTCACATAGTTGACGTTCATTTGTCTGTCTCATATGCACATGATCTGATGTTTGTTAAGAAGAAAACCCTTCTTCGTGCGAATAATTAATGTTGTACAATCTTAATGGTTAAAATAGTTGTGATCTGATATTTAAAGAGGATTTCCATGAATATCAAATGAGACCAAAACGAAATTGTTAATCTAAAAATTGAGGTCCTATATAAATAAATTCTTGTTCAATTTTTTTCTTCAATGACTGATTCAGATGTAGATGTAAAGATTGAAAAAGTATTGTAGGTGATACTTTCAAACACATTTGTTGCCCATACGAAAATATATATTATTTGTCAGAAGTATGAATTTTTATGAAAAATGTACCGATGACTTTGATTCATATTCATCGATAATGTTATGATAACATTTTTCTGTTCATTTATCTTCTTGGGCAATGGCTGTGAAATTGATACTTGACTTGATGATTGTGACACCCATTTATCATTATTATCAGACTTTGCTGTCGTATTATATCTATGAATTGTGGAAGCCATACGTATCCTATAACGCGACAATGTCTCCTATTTTACGTAGTAGATTGTGCATTATGTATCAATTCATTTTTATACAGATACTAATCACTTAATAATATCTGTAAATTTGACACATTCATATGCTTGCTCCGATCATTTTTTTTACCTTCTACCCTGAAGATAGTTTATCGTTACAGCATAACTCAGATTGATTGTTTGTTTGAAAAATCCTCAGTGGAGCCGGTTACTTATTGTTAGCTACATTTAAATGATATATTTTCAAACCGAAAACTAAAGTTTCATTTTTCATATGAAACTTTCACATTGAACGAATGTTACTCCAGACAACGAATCATGTGTGATTATCTCATACAAACATACTTTTACAGTCAGATAATATCAACCTGAAAATAATACCAAGTTAATATATGAGACTTATTTTGATCGCATCAAACAAGAGTCACAGTATGTTTCTTTATTGTTACAAAATTAAGACAACTGTTATGCTAGCACGATTACTCACAGCATGAAAATAAAAATAATAGAAGTAAGAATGTAAAGAGAAAAGAAGAAAATAGAATATAAACGTTACGAAAAGAATTTGTCTCTCAAACTATTCATCTCTGCGTTGGAGTCGGATAATGGCTTCCTTAGGTGCAATGACAGGCATTTCTGTGAGTTGTTCAAATGGTTTACGTGTTTTTTCACCACAATCAATTAGTGTATATGTTTTGAGCAATCGAACAAGTAACATTTTCATTTCAAGCAAAGCAAAACGCATGCCTACACAATTACGTGGTCCAACTCCAAATGGAATCCATGCCATTGGATGTCGATTAGTAGCGAATCTTTCAGGATGAAACTCATGTGGATCCAAAGGACCCCATAAATTTGGATTGTAATGCAAATTGTACATGTCGACAGCAATCAGTGTACCTGCTGGCACGGTACCGAAGTCTTTGATGCGAAAATCTTCGTTACTTTGACGACTAATCGCCGTTGGTGCTATAGGAAATATGCGAAGAGTCTCTCGAATAAACATATCAAAATAATCCATTTCGGAGACAGTTTCATATGTTGGCATAATGTTTTCTGTTTCTGGATCGAAATGAGCATCGATATGCTCTTGCAACTTTCGTTGTTCTTCTGGATGAGTAGCAAGAACATATGCCACATAACTAAGAGCTGTACTTGTAGTCTCATAACCAGCAACGACTATAATGTAAAAAGGAAAATTTAACGACAGCAAATGTAAGAGAGATTACTTTACTCACTGAAAAGGAGAATGTTCGCTGAAGCCTCATATTTAGTAATTTTTCGAACCCGTGGTGCTTCGACTCCAGTATTATCACTTTTCTCGAACGATGATAGTCCATCCTGTCAGAATAGAAATACGAGTTGAACAAAAACCTTGAACTTATATAGCTTCATTCATGTAAAAGAAGATGATTTTATTGTTGTCTCAATTGTCGAGAGAATCTTACTTGAATGAAATCTTGGTTGGACATGGATTCGACCATCAACTGCAATAAATCTGTTCGACCAGTCTGACCAATATCTTTACGTTTTTCGATCATTTCGTTAGCTTGTTTCATAATCCATGTGCTAGGACTTTCGTCAATGAGTGACTTTGTAATGGGAATATAGCGCCGAAGCCAATAGCGGATAACATTCGTTACCTGAAATATACTTCTCCAGATTTTTGTTAATTCTGTTATCAAAAGAGTCAAAATGAATATTATTCCACGAAAAATATTCGGTGAAAACATCTTTTGTGAATTGAGGAGATACGGATCATTGACATTATTTTGCATATCAGTGTCGAGACCAACACCACATGACCAAATAGTATCCATTGTAAATCGTTTGAAATATGCATAGATATCAAATGGTTCACCTTTGGCACACTGGTCTGCCATTTTTTCCATTAAAAATTCGATACTTCGATGAATCAATGGTGACATTTGTTTGAGTTTTAGTGAGGAAAATGTTGGATTGAGAACAAATCGTTGTCGTTTCCAACGAAGACCGACGGCATTGAACAGATGAGCATCCTTTGCTTGTGAACTCATAAAACGAGATTCACGACGAGAATGAAATTTCGAGAATGATTTAATAAAAACATCTTGGAGAACTTCTGGATCCGATATGACAAGAATAGGGGTATGTCCTTCAAAATAACCAAAGATGTGACCATACTTGTCAGTCCATTGCTGAATTGCAACCGATGGTCTTCTAAAGAGCCAAGAGTCTTAGTTGTTCTCAGAAAAATTGTTCGTTCTTTCTTATTACAAATTTAAAAACGCTCAAAATTGGAAAAAAATTATTCAAAAGAAATGTCTAGAATAATTAACTTTCACTGTTAATACAATAACAAATAACAGAATGTTTTACATTTTCATAAATCATGATAATCTTTTTTTTTTGTTGATTAAATAACCTTCTCTGTTAATTAAATATTGTAATCTTCTTAGTGTTGAATTCATCAATTTTAAACACATTTGTGAATTGATTGTTCTCCAAATCTCTATAATTTTGGTTTTCAACATCGACCAAGCTAAAATTTGTCGTCTAAGTTTTTTTATTATATTTTCACAACATTAATATTTAAACAATCGTAAAATGAGAAATTGTTGGAAAAGTTTTATCGAAAACGAATGGTGGACAATGTTCAGATGTTAATATACATCCAAGTAGAGTTAAAGGATATTTAAAAAGTATACTACAGACATCTAATTAATCTTAATATATAATTCGATCCGTTATAATTCTTTTTAGGTAATCCTTCGCTATTTTTATTTTAGGACATGAAAAAAAAATCTTCTCTATCATACGAACCTACATATCTCCTCTATAATAAGAACTAGAGATCTGAAAATTTAGAGAAATATTCGTCTAGTTACAAGGGATTAGATATCTAATTTTGAGCGTTTTTGGATTGTAATAAGGAAGAACGAACAATTTTTCTAATTTTGATTCACCCTTTAGCTTTAATGATTTCCGAAAGGTTACCAAAGAAAAACTTTGGTGCTGGTCCTGGAATGCCGAGTCGAATGAAGAAATTGTAAGCTTTTCGAACGTGCCATAGATATGCAGCGACAACAACGCATAGCAAAGCAACGAGAATACCTGTGAGTAAAAACATTTTTGTTGTGCTTTTTTATGCCACGACAACACAATGCATAAGTAACCATCTCTTTTTTTTCATTCTTACAGTGAGACCATGAAAAAAAAAACATCTCTTTCTCCTATCTTCCTTTTCGTTCTATCGCTTCACTAAACTGCGCTAGTCAAGTACATGTTTTTCTTTTCGCATTAAAATGGTCTATTCATATCAAGTTGTATATTTGGTTGACAAAATCACATGGATAGATACCACCCAGGCTGATAACGTAACAGTCACAATAGTGTTTAAATATCACAATATACAAAGTGCGCGAAAGGCTTCTTTAGTCACCAAAAAAACAGCGTTAATCATAGTATATGATTAATCGATTTTTAACACGCATTTTTGGTAACAAATGAAACATATTTCACGATTTGAACAGTTTAAAGAAAATGTCTGTTAACTCTTTGAGACGTTGCACCACCTCTTTTCCAGTAAAGAAGGAAAAATCATAGACAAGAGATATGTTACAAAACTTGTATTTAGAAGAAGATAGTTGCGGAGGGTGTGGGTCATGTCTTTAGTTTATTCCACACCCACACCCACCCAAAAACAATAGTTTATCTTATACTGTTTTTAATTAGATTTTTCAATTCACAACTCGATATGTAACTTGAAATTCTAGAGACAAAACAAAAGCAAAGGAATTCAATAGTTTTCTCAAAAAAAGACAACCTAATGGTGGCCCGATCCTTCGAACTTTGTGGGAGGAGGGTAAGGAGGTGGTCATAAAAAAATTCTTATCCGAAGTAGGGTGCGTTAACAAAACATAGAATTTCTAAGTATTGGGTTTGCGGTTTTTATGCGTATAAAATGCAGTTCAATCAATATTATCGCATAAGGAAAGTCAGTGTTAAGGATGTGGGTGAAGAGAAAACTAGAACTCATACCCACATCCACACACTCACACCCACACCCTGCAAACTCTTGCACATTGTTTATCGTTATTCGTATATGTGATATCATCGCTCAACGTACGAATTTAGACAAATCCAAATGATTAATTACTGCAACAAAAAATCGAAATAACCGAACAATTTTTAAAAATAACAGATGTGCAAGCTATGCCGTTTTTTTTTGATAATACCAAATTTTCAAAACTTTCAATTCCAAAACAAAACATATTAACTTAGTTTTTCATATGGAAATAAAGAGCTTCGTTTATTCTATCTGATACTGTGCTTTTTTTTCTTTAAATAATTTAAAATCATTGATCAAAATTTAGTTCATAAAGACTGGGAATTTCATATGAATCATCCATTATATAAAATTGTAGTTGGAATTCATCACAAAATTATCAAATATTTTCTTAAGTTATTTTCAGCTATAATAATTTTGTGACAAAATTAATATGTTCTGACTTTAAGCTTAAATGAAATCAGTTTTAGGAAAAACCAAAATGTAAGTTTTATCAATCTGAAATTAAGAACAATTCATTTTATTGGAATCTATACAATTCATATGTGCTTTTCAGAAGAAAACGAAAAGTGTCAATTTACATTAAAACTTTTTCTACCTCTTTTTGATAGCCGAAACATTTAGCTTTTAATACCAATAAATACAACTTCTCAATATAAATTGACAGTAACTTCGTTACATGAGAAACTTTAAGTCAAAACAGAAAGGAAATTTTTAGAGTTTCTAGAATTTTTAAAAAATATTCGAAGAACTTCAAAGTTCAGATTCGTATGGACTCTAATCCTTAACGCATACAAACGAGTTTTTTTGTGTAAATGCATTGTACCACATGTACATATCACAGTCACAATGTAACAATAATGTGCATGGGACTGGTATCAAAAATATTTCCTGGCTGTATTTTAACGTAAGAAAAAAACTCAATGTGAATATCTCAGAGTTGATATCGGTATAAAATTAGCGACCCATGAGATGTGGATACATGATGAAGATATAGCAGCTGAAAAGATAACACCTAGCATCATGATTACAGCAAAAAACCCAGTATGTTCAGAAAAGCTAAAATTCAATCCATTACAGGAAAATATGGAAGTCTGATAATTTCGAATTTAGTTATTCCCAATTTAGATTAAAGATACACCAATTCCAACTTTTGTCATGG